AATAGCTGAAGAAAATTAATCAGAAATAAAGACTTTAACAAATGGAATTCAGAAAGCTGAAATAAAAGTCTATTTTTAGAAGGAGATAGTAAGAACTGCAGATGTTGGAGTCAGAGATGACACAGTGTGGAGCTGGAGGAACACAGCAGACCAGGCAGCATCAGAGGAACAGGAAAGTTGACGTCTCGGGTTGGGACCCTTCTTCAGAAAATTATCTTTCAGGTCAGGACCCTGTATGAAGAAGGATGCCAACCCGATACATTAACTTTTCTGCTCCTCTATGCTGCCTGGCCTGCTGTGTTCCTCCAGCTCCACACTGTGTTATCTCTATTTTTAGAAATATGTTTTTTAGTCAAGCTCAAGTTAGCAAATGGAAAAACAAAGTAAGAACAGGAATTAACTTACCAGGGAAGTCTGAAGGTCAAGAATTCTTCACTTTGACAGAAGTGACAAAAGTGCAAGTCTCTCTTCCTCCTTCACCTGCTGTTTATAGACTAACAATTACGTGTCTTAACAGCGATCTCCTGGTCTGCTAAATATCCTACCTTCTTTAAATGTATTGATTTACAAGGTGTGGCCCAACATTTATTGCCCAGAAGACAGTTAAGAGTCAAGCACATTGCTGTAGGTCTGCAGCCACATGTAGGCCAGATCTGGAAAGGACGGCAATTTTCTTCTCTAAAGCATTCATAAACCAGTTGGGTTTTTTTTCCAACAGTCGTTTCATGGTTATGCTAGACTCTTTATTCCAGATTTTTATTGAATTCAAATTCCACCATTTGCCCTGGTAGGATTCGAATCTGGTTCCTCAGGACATTACCTGGGTCTCTGCAACTATAGTCTTGCGATAATACCACTAGGCAATCGCCTCCCTTATCCTTGCTGAAAATGCTACACACCAATGTTCAATATTCTGCACGAGCTCTAGTGAAACAGCCGAATGAAGGGAAAACTGGATCACGGCCAGTGACCCAAATGAATCAGCACCTTTCAAAAAGGGAAGGCAAAAATCATCTCATTTAATTTTAAACTAGGTTATTTGGAATCTGGTTCCTTTGTGAGTACAATTATGGCTTACCATTTCTTTTTAATATTTTTTAATCATCTCCCTAAACGGATGGGTGTAAATTGCAGGTTAACACAGTGCTTGGAAAATTGGATCTTTCAAAAGTCTACCTTATGAACAAAATAGTACTTGCAATCATGTAAAACCTTTTCACAAACTCTGAATATTCCAATGAATTTTAAAGCCAATACAATTCTTTTGAAGTATAGAAAATGTTACTTTCTGGATTATTTTTGATGATGTTGGTAAATTCAGTTTGTTGCACATCTCTTGGCTTAACATCAACACACTTTTTGTAAAAAGGCTAAAATGTCCAGCATTTGGATTTTACCTCATCACAATTCATGACCTTTTATTCATTCTGCTATTGTTTGCTTCCATATCTTGTAAAGTATTCAAGTGTATTTTGAATTTCTAGCTTTGATCAATAAGACAGGCAGTGAGTCATTTCCAATAAACTCTGACATGAGATATACAAAGACTCAATTACCAACTGCATTAGTCAGTGGTCAGTGTTGTGGATCACTCACCTATCAATTTTTGTTGTATAGCTATTCACACTGAGCCATTCACTTATGTATCAAGTCAGAAGTGACGCTATACCAGGTTATGGTCCAACAGGTTTATTTGGAATCACAGATAGTAGGAACTGCAGATGCTGGAAAATCTGAGATAACAAGGTGTAGAGCTGGATGAACACAGCAGGCCAAGCAGCATCAGAGGAGCAGGAAGGCTGACATTTCGGGCCTAGACCCGTCATCAGAAATGGGGGAGGGGAAGGGGATTCTGAAATAAATAGGGAGAGAGGGGGAGGCGGATAGAAGATGGATAGAGGAGAAGATAGGTGGAGAGGAAACAGACAGGTCAAAGAGGCGGGGATGGAGCCAGTAAAGGCGAGTGTAGGTGGGGAGGAAGGGAGGAGATAGGTCAGTCCAGGGAGGACGGACAGGTCAAGGGGGCGGGATGAGGTTGGTAGGTAGGAAATGGGGGTGCGGCTTGAGGTGGGAGGAGGGGATAGGTGGGAGGAAGAACAGGTTAGGGAGGTGGGGACGAGCTGGGCTGGTTTTGGGATGCGGTAGGGGGAGGGGAGATTTTGAAGCTTGTGAAATCCACATTGATACCATTGGGCTGCAGGGTTCCCAAGCGGAATATGAGTTGCTGTTCGTGCAACCTTCGGGTGGCATCGTTGTGGCACTGCAGACGGCCCAGGATGGACATGTCGTCTGAGGAATGGGAGGGGGAGTTGAAATGGTTCGCGACTGGGAGGTGCAGTTGTTCAGTGTGAACCCAGCATAGGTGTTCTGCAAAGCGGTCCCCAAGCCTCCGCTTGGTTTCCCCGATGTAGAGGAGGCCACAATGGGAACAGCGGATACAGTATACCACATTAGCAGATGTGCAGGTGAACGTCTGCTTGATGTGGAAACTCTTCTTGGGGCCTGGCATGGGGGTGAGGGAGGAGGTGTGGGGGCAGGTGTAGCACTTCCTGCGGTTGCAGGGAAAAGTGCCGGGTGTGGTGGGGCTGGAGGGGAGTGTGGAGCGGACAAGGGAGTCACGGAGAGAGTGGTCCCTCTGGAAAGCAGATAAGGATGGGGAGGGAAAAATGTCTTTGGTGGTGGGGTCAGATTGCAGATGGCAGAAGTGTCGGAGGATGATGCGTTGGATCCGGAGGTTGGTGGGGTGGTACGTGAGGACGAGGGGGATTCTTTTTTGTTTGTTATTGCGGGGACGGGGTGTGAGGGATGAGTTGCGGGAAATGCGGGAGACACGGTCGAGGACGTTCTCGACCACTGAGGGGGGGATGTTGCGGTCCTTGAAAAACAAGGACATCTGAGATGTATGGGAGTGGAATGCCTCATCCTGGGAGCAGATGCGGCGGAGGCGAAGGAATTGGGAATAGGGGATGGCATTTTTGCAGGAAGGTGGGTGGGAGGAGGTGTGTTCTAGGTAGCTGTGGGAGTCGGTGGGCTTGAAATGGATATCGGTTTCTAGGTGGTTGCCCGAGATGGAGACAGAGAGGTCCAGGAAGGTGAGAGAGGTGTTAGAGATGGTCCAGGTGAACTTAAGGTTGGGGTGGAAGGTGTTGGTGAAGTGGATGAACTGTTCAAGCTCCTCATGGGAGCACAAGGCGGCGCCAATACTGTCATCAATGTAACGGAGGAAGAGGTGGGGTTTAGGGCCAGTGTAGGTACGGAAGAGGGATTGTTCCACGTAACCTACAAAGAGGCAGGCGTAGCTTGGGCCCATGTGGGTACCCATGGCCACCCCCTTTGTCTGTAGGAATTGGGAGGAATTGAAAGAGAAGTTGTTGAGGGTGAGGACGAGTTTGGCTAAGCGGATGAGGGTGTCAGTGGAGGGGGACTGGTCGGGCCTGCGGGACAGGAAGAAGCGAAGGGCCTTTAGGCCATCTGTATGGGGACTGCGGGTGTATAGGGACTGGACGTCCATGGTAAAGATGAGGTGTTGGGAACCGGGGAATTGGAAGTTCTGGAGGAGGTGGAGGGCGTGGGTGGTGTCACGGACGTAGTTTGGGAGTTCCTGGACCAAGGGGGAGAAAATGGAGTCGAGATAGGTGGAGATAAGTTCGGTGGGGCAGGAGCAGGCAAGCTTTCAGAGTGTACCCCTTTCGTCAGGTGCAGTGAGAGAGCAGGGCACACAGACACAGAGTTTATAAACAGAGATATCAAAAGAGTGTTAGACCGTGTATAAAGTGTTTATAAAGTCAATGTCACTGTTGTGCTGTCATGACAATCAGCCAGAGCGATAGGAATATACGAAAGGTGACATTCAGGTCAGACACTGAATTGTAGGTGTAAGACTTTGCTCAGATTCTGTCTCAGAGTTTTAACCTGGAATCAGGCTGGTTTTATTCCGAAAGCTGGAATTTATAAGATGCCACACTGACTGACTGTGACTACAAATTGTGGGTGTGTCTTGGGAGGGTGTGTGTGTGTGTGTGTGTGTGTGTGTGTGTGTGTGTGTGTGTGTGTGTCTTGGGAGGGTGTGTGTGTGTGTGTGTGTGTGTCTTGGGAGGGGGTGAGTGTGTGTGTGTGTGAGAGAGTGTGTGTGTATAAATATGTGTGCTTGAGAGAAAGCGTGTGTGAGACATGGTGTGTGTGTTTGTGTGAGAGTGCGTGTGAGAAAGTAATAAGTAATTCAAAACATTACAAACTAATTAAGGTAGAGAGATCATAACAATTTATCCAAGTGATGCTGTCAAAACAGGGCAGTAAGGAAGATTTTACAGATATTGAACAGTGTGGTGGAGTCACCTGAGAGTGCAACATGAGCCCAAGATCATTGTTAAGGCTGTCTTCATGAGTATGAAACTTGGCTGTCAGTCTCTGCGATTCTGTGTTTTGCAATTTAGAGTCCGCCTTGTCTCGAGGATGCTGAATGCCCTTGATCACTGAAGTGTTCCTCGATTGGGAAGGAACATTCCTGTCTGGTGATTGTTGCATGGTGTCCATTCATCTGTTGTCATAGTGTCTGAGTGGTCTCGTCAATATACCATGCCTCGGGACATGCTTGCCTGCAGTGTATGAAATAGACAACAGTGGCCGAGTCACATGAGTATCTGCTGTGAATGTGGTGGGTGGTGTTCCCACATTTGATGATAGTCTCCAAGTCGATGATCTGACATTTCTTGCAGAGGTTGCCCTTGATCTGTCCAGAACTCTGTGTCTGTGTGCCCTGCTCTCCCACTGCACCTGATGAAGGGGCTGCACTCTGAAAGCTTGTGTGTTTCCAAATGTACCTGTTGGACTATAACCTGGAGTCGTGTGACTTCTGACTTTGTCCACCCCAGTCCAACACCGGCATCTCCACATCATGACCACTTTATACATCAATAGTATGAACGGTGTTGCACCTTTTAATGAAGGTGAAAACATGCCTGTGTTCTAATTAATGTGATGCTAATTATTTACATTTCCAGAGTAATTGAAGAAAGCCAAGTTGTGCCTATACTGTTCCAGATTATTTCGGTGAGTACTAACTATGAAGCGTTTTTTGTTCCTCCTCTTTTAGTCATTAAATGCAATCCACTCTTCTTTAGTGCACAGAAACCACTTTATCATTGTTTAACCACTTTTGGCCTGGCTTGTGGAAACATCCAATATTTAACAGATGTTTCTGAAATTATTCAAGATTTTGAGTGTGTGATAAAAGAGTTTCAACTGTAATGCCAATTTGGGAAAGTTACTGGTGGGTGTCTGCACCTGTGAAAGCTCACCCAAGCAACAAGTGTAAGTCCTGATTTACTGAAATTTTTTGCAAAGTAAAAGACAAGTAAATTGTCATTTATGACCTTTGTCAACCATTATGGTTCTTCATTGAACATTGGATCCCCAAAATCCAGCTGTTGTTTTTGGATCAAGGATGCCTAGGATATCAAACAGGTTCTGTACAACACTAAAGTTACCTGCAAAATGGAAGGTTGCATCAGCCAAAAAGGCAACAAGACCCACTATAGAACACCTACAATGAATGCAGAAAAATGTACTACAAGTATGATAGAGCTGTAATGGACATAAAGGAATGATCAACCGAAGCACGTATGATAGCATCTTCAAAGAAGATACTTTTATGAAAACAGTGGCAGAAAGTGGCAAAACAGAGTTACTTAGGGGGCAAATTCTAAAGTTTTGACACTGATGATGCGGTTGTAGTTGTTGGGTGAAGGAATGAGTGTGTATAAAAATGCAGAGTTCTCAGAGGAGTATAGAGATGAGAAACCTGTGTAAAGAGGAGGAACAAGGGCATTAATGAATTTAAACAAGAGGATGAACAGTTTAAATACAGGGCATTGTATTAATGCAAGTTTTAGAGTATAGGCATGATTCGCCTAAAATAACACAAAACTTCTGTTGAATTACACATTTGTAGTTTCTGGTGTGAAATGCCAGTTATCTGTGCATGCAACTTTATACCAGTGAATAAGAAAGTATAGTGAAATTGGTGCAATAAATTGGAAAACAGCTGTTAGTTGATTTATTTTAAATATTAATAAATTGATCATTTGAATTGGGGTGTGTGCAGAAAAGACTTATAGTTCCTGAGATGAGACTTCCGAGGTGTAGATATATTGGCAAAGCTGGGGTTCTTCTTCAAGAAGTGAAGGTTCACAGGGGATTTGATAGAGGTGTTAAAATCAAGAAGGTTCTGAACAGAATAGATAAAGAGAAATTGTTCCCATTGGTTAAAGGTGTGAAAGCCAGAGAACACCAGTTTAAGGCAATTGACAAAAGCACCAAAGGTAACACAAGAAAAAGTTACACATTGAGTGGTTAGGATCTGTAATGTACTACCTTAGAATGTGGTGAAGGCAAATTGAATTGTGACTTTCAAAAGGGATTGATAATTATTTGAAAGGAAAAAAAATTGCAGGGTTGTGAGGCAAAGTTGGGAGAGTGGGACATGCAGAATGGCTCTTGCAGAAAGTCAGCACAGACCCGACCAAATAGCCACCTTCAGTATAGTAACAAATTTATGATTTTATGAAGTTATTCAGTCCAAAGATTAAAAACATTTTTAAAAAATTACACACCATAAGTTCAGACTCAGTTATTGCACATTCATGGCATACTCACCGGCAACAGTATTTGTATGTGAATGGCATTTTAGGAGCACACAGCTAAAAGCAAACAACAGCATTTTGATCGCTAACAATGAAATCTGTGAAAACACTGGAGACCTAGATTATATTCTACTCTCTTTCTTTAAGAAAAGGATAGTTCTAATACCGTCCTCTATGTTGTCTGCATTTAGTGCACAGTTCCAGGAGAATGAGACTAGGTTTGTGCTTGTTCTCTGCCTCATTAGTGTGCATAATAGAGATCTTGACTAGGTGAATGGCATTTCTGTTTCATGGGTTCTTACGTGTGCAAGTTGCTGCAGAATGGGACTTCAATGATGTCTTAACGAACTTGACTACAGTATGAAAAGCAGTCTTCATCTTGCTAATACTTATGTCTCACAGTTGATGGACAGCCTATTGTATAGTTCAGTCTCTAGAGGAGGTTTTTAATAGAAGTGAAAATGAGCTTTTCTGATTGTGGGAAATAAACTTGCTGTAAACTATTAAACCCAAAAATCTGTATGGTAGTAGTAATGAGTGTACTGTGAAAATGATCATTATCGCGGTCAAATGAAACTTGGCACAGAACCATACACATATTGCTACTATATAGAATGTATGAAGAACAGTGCATGGAGCATACATTATATTTTGTCACAAAAACATGCACTTTCCTTCCTCATTTAAAAGACTTGCTTTCTTATCGGTCAGTGAAGGTTATTGCCCTTATTATGTATGGACTAAGCTGACTGACAGAATCCACACCATGGGAGAACACTGATTGAAGGAATCTACAGTTGAAGGCTGCCAAGTCTGCCTATGGATGGTAAGAGGAAGATGTGAATGGAATGTTTCCATATTGTAACACGACAGGTTGAAATATTTACCTGTTACTAAGGGATGTGATCATTTGTCACAGCCATTAGCTTGTGGTTTTCTGCATAGAGCATTAGGTAGTCAATGTTTAAACTTTTGAAGTTATGTCAGATCTTAGATGTTTTGTTGTCATATCAATGTCTCCATCACTTATGCACCATAGTCCCAATATCATTGGGAGCACAGGCATAATAGGTAATAATAATCCATCATTAATATCTTTGCCTTTATGGAAAATAGTACATTACCAAGGTGAGTACATAGGTAAGACAAGTGTTTGAACTGATTGGTGTGCATTGCTACGCAGTTATTGAGCACCTTCATATCAGAGATGCAAAATTAAAAGAAACTCTCACCTTGGGGCTTTGCAGATTACAAGGAAGTAAAGGTGCACAACATTATTACAAGCTTGGGATATGCGTAATAGTTCTAACTATATTAAGGTTTAAGTTTTCCCTTTTGTCTATATCATTTTTCAAATAGTTTGCTGGAGAAAAACTGTTCTAATGAAAGCTTTGTGATAGTAGTTCATGCCATCCTTTTCAGAAAAAATGGAGCGATAAGTATACTAGACTGTACCTATCATAAATACGCTTTGCTACTAATAACAACAGCAGTTTTAAGCAGCTTAATCTATTATAGAAAAACCTTATAAAACAAATGTTGCCTCGCTGGATATTTGGGACTGGGTTAGATGCTTATCATGAAATTGAGATTTACTTTATAATTCAGGCAGGCTACTGGGTTTTGTCATAACTTTGGTTGGTGGTGAATGAAAGAATCAAAAGCGTTTCGTTACTGTCTACAACTTCATGACTGTTTTTGATTTGAATGTATTACAAGCCACACTGAATCAAAGCCATTGTGCAAGAAAACGGTAACTGAGGTTTCACGAATTTTGAAACAAATTAACATAATTCTTTGAATTTATTACAAATTAAAAATTTGTTAGGTTTCTTTTTGGAATGTCCGTTGCTCCATCATGATTCGCAAAATGTATTTACTCGACATTGAGTTTATAGTTACACGTTATTTTATTCCAGAAATATTTCCTCTTCGTGCAACTCTCAACAGTCTGATTATTTATAAGTCAGACATGTTATGAAACCATGTAGTTTTTATTCATAGATAAAAACAGGAATTGTTGGATAAGCTCAGCAGGTCGGGCAGCATCTGTGGAGAGAAATCAGAGTTAACATTTCAGGTTGAGTGACCCTTCCTCAGAACTGAGTTTTTTTTCAAAATTTACAACACTTGTGATGCTGAAATATGTTTTGTCAGTCTATGCCTTGGTTTTCATCATTATCCAAAGTGCCTAATTTACATTCAAGCTCTAAGTAAATTAGCAAGTACTTACAGGTGCAGGGGTTAACTTACTAAAGAAACAAAGAAATATTAGAGTAGATTTTCAGATGTATCACACTGACAGGACAACAAATTGCACCCACATAATGCCTTTAAAATAAAAGTAACCCCAAGCTATTTCTCACAAGGGGACAAGTGTGACATATTCCAAATCTGCCAAGAAGAGGTTAAGAGGCTGCAAAGAGTTAAAAATGTTTTAAGTTGAAAGGACAGTTGAAGAAACAAAGAAGTTTAGGAAAGGGATTCTAGAGAGCGGGACTAAAATAATTGAAAGTGATATTGCCAACAATGGGACGAAATGAAGAGTTAGTTGGAGGGATGATGTACAGGAGACCGGATTCAGATGTACAGTGAATTTTGGATGAGAATTTTTCAGAAGGATGGAAGAAAATATCAAAGGGGGATGAGGATGCAGGATTGGTTAACAAAGCCCCAATTAATGGGTTTGCAAAACTTAGTGAGAGATTGTTTCTGATAATGTTGGAGTTTGTGAAGAAAACAGGATAGAAAGTCAACTAATCCAAATGACAAAGTCACACTATGAGGATTTCAGAAGTCTAGGAGCTGAGGTGGACTGGAAAGCAAGCAATATTGAACAGTTAGTATCGTAATGATAGGTGATCTCTGTGATTGTGGAATGTTGGGTTTGAAATTCAATTCAGGGTTAACTGTTACTGCCCTGGATATGGAGCATAAACAATGGCATGGATTATTGAACGAAATTGCCTGTTTCAGTACTGTTATGTAATTTGCTCACTTCAAGAAGCTTCGAATGAGACATGCCAAGTTATCCTGTCAGAACAGCACCACTATAGGTCACTGGAACCTTGTTTGACAAGGCAATCAATTTCACATTTTCTATTGGAAAATTGTTGAAGGACGAGAGGCTGTTGTTATTCCAGGCTTTCCCTGGAGGTTTATAGACTCAGTGTCTTAATTACTTCACTTACACACACTCTCACTCATATTAAAGATTATATATAGATGAAGCAAAATATTACACATGATTTCAATTGTGTAATTACCTCAGTTTCTGTTTGTAGCAGGCCTATAGTTTCTTAGTTGAGTTGATGCTTTGGCAGGAGTGAAACTGTTGAAAAGCAGAAGATTCTAGTACCCTATGAGGTGACTTTTAGTTGAATTGTCAGGAGGTTCGTTGTTGCAGCT